AATACTGCATAGGACCACTACTGTAAAAGACTAAGAAAAAGAACCCATACTAAAGAAGGGGGTGGGGGAGATTATTTGCTGGTTGCTGGGATGTGGGGAATGGAGTGTGGGGAGGGAGAGGAAAGTGGAACACAGAGTAGGTAATAGACACAGGATAGTTTGAGTGCTAGGGAGTGAGGCAATACACAAGAAGGGGGAGAGGAATGGAAGAACAAAGTGGATGGGAGAACAATTAGGCACATTTGTATGGGCTAAGTGGGGCAAAGGTAAATAATGATGTATGCACAACCTTTGAACAACAGGGCTTTGGGATACAGGGATTGAGACATGATTGGAATAGGGAAAAGGGGGAAAATAATGTTAAGATGCTTGGCTGTCTTTTCAATCTTGATTTCCATGGCATACCATTATAAAATAAGACACTTGAGAGGGAGAGAAAGGATAGCCAGAAATATCAACATAGACAGCTTGTAAGTCCGTCTTCTAACTATAACCGATTGGAATACCTAAAATGGGGCTACAACATGCCCAGTGAAGGAGGCTTCCAGCAGAGCCTCTGCATTACATAAGACCATAGGTGGAATCCTGAACCCCATTCAGAATCTTCTGAGGTGGGAAATTTCCATTTGAAAGGACAAGCAGACCAGCCTGGAGCAGCTAGAAGGATAGGAAATACTTCTTGAAATAAAGACCTACAGGAAAAATACAAAACAATATAGGCAGACCAAGTGATTACTACAAGAAGAAACAAGTTGCTCACCCAGGAAACATCAAGGCAAGTGGTCGGATCCCCTCAGGGCAAACTCTCTTCTAAGACTAAGACTCAATGGGAATACACACTCTGTTCGTGACCACGTTGGTCACCGATAAGGGAAAGTGAGGGAAAACCAGCAATGAAACTGCAAGCTAAACCCTACAACGTTCAATAGACTCCTGTGAATCCTGGTGGAGTCCTGGTTGGCCAGCAGTGTGGCAAGACCTGGGGACTCTTGGGCCCAGAGTCAGTGACATAGCCACAGAGGGCTAGAGTAGAGAATGAAGCGTTCAGCTGATAAGAAGAGAGGGCATAAGCACAAGAACACCCACACTTGCAGATAATACCCACTTGACTTGGCTTCAATGACTGGATGATCAGAGCTCAACTAGAAGAAGAAAGAAGAGGAAAAAAAGAGTAATGTAATACAATTTGATGGACTTGACCTACACCTATGGATGCAGTAGCTCAAAAGAGGGAACAAATCTTTACAGCAAAGATCATTCCCACCCCCTTCATACACAGAGTAGACAGGATGGGCAACTTGGACATAGGCTACCCAAAAAGGTGGTGGTGGGGGGTGTTGGTGGCTACAAAGGCACGAAGTGACTGGCTTACAAGCTTTCAAGAGGGAAGCTAGATCCAGAGGGTGTGGAGGAAGGTAGAATCTCCACTGAGTAGTATCCAATCTGTCTGGGCAGGGTTGATGAAAGGAGATGGGGATAGGTGTCTTGTGATACAACAGTGATTAATTGTTATCAGGACTGATTGTGAGGGTTGGAAATGTAAAGGTAGACGTTTTGTAGCAAAAGGTGGGGAGTGATTAACTTTGCAGTCTAGGAGCGGAGGTCCCTGGGACTATCAAGGGAGAAGAGCAGAAAGTGGGACCCTACCCAGAGAAGCAGTGACAGAGAAGCAGACACCAGAGATGGAAACAGAGACGATGACATGGAGAGAGGATGCTGCTGGGGACTCTAGACCCAGAGAGAGGGGCTGTGTGCTGAAGACCAGGGGGATCGGGGGGGGGAGGGGGGTGGGCAGGCTTGCAGGGTATACCCTTTGGATTGTTGATGATGCATGGAAGGGATTGTAACCATGCCAATGAAATGATATATGATAGGATGAACATAAAGCTAAAGTTCTCCCATGTAAACTATCACATAATTCACAATAAAACATTAAAAAAATGAAAAATGCAATGAGCAATGCCAAGTTAGCTTGTACACATATGCTTTATTGTGGATGTTAATATATATCAGCATTGTATGCAAGATTCTCTTACAATAGTTTTCCCAATATAGCATAAAACTCAATTTTGTTGGGTTGCTGTATGAATGTGAAAACCTTATAATAAAATGTATAATCGGTTTCCATGCAAGTATGACTGCTACATGTATGCCTGGCACTTTTAAAATATATTAAAAGAAATTCAAATGAACACAACATTATATAGGTGGCTTAAAATGCCTGACATGTTTAAGACTAAATATCTTGCAAAATGCAACAAAGCAGTTAACTGGAGGATTCAACCAATACCAATCCAAATATGTGCTATATCTAATAAGCCTCGGCTTATCTGCAATGTATTACATTTAGGATAATTTAATGCTCAAGAAAAATTATGCTTTAAAAAATTATAGCTCTTCCAAGATATTATACTTTGGTGATTCGAGACTGAATACATCCAAACCATCTAAGGGCTTCATTTATAAAAAAGAAAGAACCATTATATGCATTAGTTCAAGGTAACCAAAATGATCCAGTATATTTTTGCTACAATCATTGGTTTTCCAAAGTGAAATTTCTGTGAGAAGTTCATTAATTAGGAAGCAATCAACATACTTAACAAACGCTGCTAAGAAGATTCAAATTGGTTTATCTATTATCAACAAGGCATAATCTTAATACCAAACATTTTCTTTACTTCTCACTACATTTCATATGCAAAAACTAGCAAGTGACTTTAAATAGCTTAAAACCCTTTTATGTTTACTGCTCAAGAGCTAGGCATTAAAATACTTGGTATTTCAACTTCTAGTAACATAAAAACAGATCAGTCTTAAACTGGCTTTGTTTTGTTTTTTTTCTAAGGCTTTTTTTTTTTTTTTTTTTTTTTAGCATTTTGGTATTTGCAAGACTTTGCTTGGTAATGGCTGTTTTAAGTTAACATGAGAACTTGCCATCATTTGCCTTTTATCTTTTCACTCAGTGCAAGTGGTGGTGGCTCTTTCCTTCTCTCATAGCAGCAAGCCGAGTCTGCTATTTTCTATAGCAGCATACTTCAGGAGTGGAGAGGGAGAGAGTGTGTCAATTATAAATAATTAAAACTACAGTGTACAATTTTATTTACCTGTCTGTTTAAGTTGACAACACACCATTATATGCCTCAAAGAATTACAAAAAATCTACCACAAAAGCAAATAAAAGGCATTCTTTCAAGAAAAAATAAGTGCAAACACCTAAAACAGGCAACTGAAGCAACTGTTGTAACCTGTAGAGAAACACAAAACATTTATAAAAGGACAAAATATTTTTATAAATAAAAGATAATGTTCTCTACTTCTGAAACATTAAGCAAATACAATAAACTTTTAAGTGCAGACTGTTTGTATGGACCAAGATACCGTCTTATTTTTTAAAACAAAATTAAAATGCAAAAATTTCAAACACATATACAAATCATTGGATTAATTTATATGACCCGCCCCAATATAATTTAAAAAGAAAATGTTAAATTATTATTTAATACATTTTTAGAACTACTTTATAACCAACATGATTTAAAGGGCATAGTGCAATGCTTAGATAGATGTGACATACAATATAGATATTGTATTCTTTGCAACTATAACTTACTATTGTTTCATACTTAAAAAATTAAAATTGTTCTTTACTATGTCAGCTGTAATGACAGGAAACAACACTGGCTTCTAGACACCATATATATATATATATATACCTACATTTAAGCTTCAAAAATGAAAATAAATTATAAAAAGACTTCTTTCCAATTTACAAAGTATTCCTGCTACTATATACTGTACAATACATTCAATGAAACTCTCAGCTTTTCTGAGATTTATGAAGAAAATACTGACTCTTTACTAATAAGGAAAAAAACCTTTTCAATGTTTTTGTTTTCAGTACCATGCTCGAATAAATACATTTAACACTGTAGTTAATTTTACTGCTTTTGAAAAATACCAAAAATAAGTAGTGCAACATCCTATCCTTCCTTAAAATTTCTTTACACTGTGTTTCTTTGTATGTCCGCCAGAGCAAATCAGCACACAGGCGAAAGTACTTCATAAAATCATGTATGCTTCCCATACAGAGACTACTTTCAGAAATCATTACATATTACAAAAAAACTGTAGCATCAAGAGAGTAGCAATAGGTATCTTGTGAAGAAAATTTACTTTTAGAAAAATCTATGAGCATTCTAATAATATTTTCCCTTATTCTTTAAAAATAATTTCTATAAAAATATCACTTAAAAAAATAACTTATGAAACTGCCTACTCTTTACTTAAGTGGCTTAGCTTTTCGCCTGTTGAATATATAAAAAAATGTGCAAACCATTTTAGGCCTATATTAAAACTTAAACAGTTAATTGATAAGAATTTCATTGCAACCTAATTTAGTGTATAATATAGTAAAGGAAGTATGACATTTCATCAGTTCTAATAACAATTACAGTATTAGAGCTCTTGAAGTGCTGCTGGTAGCTGTGTAAGTACTCAGGTATCTTCTTGCTTGTTCAGTCATAATAAGTTGGTCTTCTGTCTTCCCATAAACCACTGTTTCCCATTCACAATTTGACTAGGAAAAAAATAAGAATAGTGATGTGAAAATTACTATAATAATTATCCATACTACTTCACAATAGACTTTAAAGTCAGTTATTTTGCTATCTCAACAGTTTATAAGCCTCTTCTTGTTGTTGTTGTTAGGTGCCATCGAGTCAGTACCAACCCATAGCGTCCTTATGCACAGCAGAATGAAACACTGCCCAATCCTGGGCCAACCTCATACTGTTGCCATACTTGAGTCCATTGATGCTGCCACTTGGCCACTTTTTAAAAGTACTGTTGCCAACATACAGCTTCCAAACCAAATGAATGGTCTTAACATGGAAAACAATGTCAGGTTTTATTGTTCCAACATTCTTGCAGAAGGATTTAATGTTAAAAATTATGCTTTATGTCTTTGCAATTAAATTAGGAAATGTATTCTTAACACAAAATTAAATTTATGCTCATTTAATTTGTTTTCTTTCCTTATCCCTGAGTATAGGTTGTTCCATTAAAGGTATGACCAGCTATGCAATAAATTTTCCTGAAAAGTTCTATGTTAGTTAAATTCTAGAAACTCAAATCATTTAAAATAGATAAAGAGGATGTGCTTTCCAAAGAGCAGAGGGCTAAGCCAGAGGTGAATAGGCCATCATGAATGGCAAAAATGCTTCCAAGGAACGCTAAATATCAGGAACACTAGTGATACAGTCATTGCACTGTAAAGAAAAAAACGCCTTCCTCGGTGAACTCCCAAATTCTCGAGGATGAACTATCAATGTAGTAAAAAACATTCCCCAGCTTTCATTTACAGCTACATACTGGCTGCATAACAGCTAGGAAGAGTATTTTGTTTTATTGATTTTTGAGCCAAAAAGTTTACTGGAAACCATTATACCAACAAATCATGCTGAAACTGCTTCCAACCACTTACCCTTTCATGATAGCAAATTAGGGCTATACATAACTATGTTAGGAGGAGACGTGCTGGAAGTGGAGTTAGGTTTTAAAAAGTAATAGCGCTTATAAAAATCACTAATAGAGTCTTTGGCTACAATTCCAATTATTTCGTGTATATGTGCCCTGATGAATGAGCCTCTTGAAACACCAAATCTAGTTTGAGTAACAAAATAATAGTGAATGTTTACTGAAATAGTCAACTCCAAGGAGCCCTGTTGGTGCCCTGGTTAAGCAGCTGGTGGCTAACCAAAGGGCAGTCTGCTTCTGTGAAGAGTTGTAACAGCTTTGGAAACCCTATGGGGCAGTTTTATTCTATTCACTAGGAGTTAGAATGGATTTGATGGCAAAGGGCATAGTCAATTTCAGATTTCAAAGAAAAATATAATTTGTGATGAGCAAATCCAAAGTAAAAACTGAATAAACAACAACAAAACTCACTAAAAGAAATTAATAAATCCATACCTGAAGATTCTTTTCCAATTTGACAACTTTAGAAGTGTTAGGGTTTGGTTTCTTTTTAGTAAGTGTACATGTTTTGTTGGTTGAATTTATATCTTGTTTTTCAGGAGTCAAGCTGCACCTATTGTCATGTATTTCCAATAATGGTATCATTAATAAAGATGTTGTAAATATATTTTCTGACTAAGGAAAAGAGAAAAAAAAAAAAAAGAAGAAAATAAAATAACTAATTCAAAAGTGGAGACAAATAGAGGGACTACTGAGTAAGTGGTAGTGGAAGCCCTGTTCCTTTCCCTCCAAGAAAGCTTTTGGCTCCTATGAAATCCTGGTAATGTAGTAATAGTAAATATTTCAGAAATTAACCAGAGAACAGCACTGAAATTTAAATTTTTTGAGAACTACCATTTTTTTATATAATACCTAACGTCTGTCAAAACACAACAAACATGAAAAAAAAAAAAACAAGGATGTAAATACAATATTCTCTATAGTTAACAGTTTCGCTTTGAATTAGGCAGAATGATATTAATGAAAACTCTATGAATCTCTAATGAATCTCAATGAATAAAAGACAAAACTAGGATTTAAAGCAAGCATTATAATTAAAAAGAATTCTTTACAAACCTGCATGTCTGAAATATCTTCAGTTAGTAGTTGAGGATTTCGTTCTTCTTTTTCCCAATTATCTAAAATGAGTGATTTTCTGACTTTCTTCACAGAAGTAGTATGCTGGAAGGAACAATTTACAATGGAAACATTACAGCAGGGTAACTAGAACAAGATGAGACTTTTATCAACTGTAATATTAAGATCACCTCTTCTTGTTTGCAGCTTTTGTAAGCAGGTTCATCTTCCTCTTTCAGGAATATGTCTGTTCCAGTTTCTTCTTTTAAAACTTCCCGAATATCTTCTTCCAAGAAGGCAAGTGGCTGTGACTAAATTGTTTTTAAAAAGATTTTATAAAATCTTTTATAGCAATCTCTTTCTCCCCATACAGAGCAAATCCTTCTTTTATACTCTTCCATTTATGGCCACAATTTGTCCTAGTCCCTATACACTCCTTAGAGCAATCAACCACATAAGATTAAAATTATAGCATCTGCCTAGGAATAATGCTCAGAAAGCAGGAAGGTACAGAAAAGAACAAAAGGAAACAAAAAACATAGCAAATGGGAAAAGTACTGTAGCACTCAGGATTGCAATTAATGTCACAAAACAAAATGTGGACAAATTATTAAATGGGAAACCAATTTGCTTTAAATAACTTTCACCCAAATCACAAGTTAAAAAAAAAGAAAGAAAGAAAAATTTCTAAGAATTTTCATTTAAAAATAGCAGGGTGCAGGCATCTATGTAGTCATTGGCTACCTAAAATGAGAGGGTGATAAAAGCACAAAGTGACTGACTTACAAGGTTTCAAGGGGAAGTTTAGTTTAAGAGTGTCTTGGGGGAAGATAAGAGTCCCCACTGAATAGCTGTCATTTTGTCTAGATGGGTCTGGTGAAAAGAAATAGGGATAAGATTCTTATGATTCAATAGTTAGTAATTGTTATAAAGACTAATTGCGACTGTCACAATTGTAAAGGTAGAAGTTTTGTAACAAAAATGGGGAGTAGTTATTCTTACAGTCTAGAAACAGAGGACCCTAGGACCACTAAGGGAAAAGAGCACCTTTTCCAGAGAAGCAGCGACACCAGAGATGGAGGCAGAGATGGGGACATGGAGAGAGGAAGCAGCTGAGGACTAGATTCATGGGAAGAGAGGGGCTGAGAGCTGGCGGCCAGGAGACAGACTTGCAGAATGTGCTCTTTGGTGGTTTAAATTATTATATATGCCTGAGTGTTTAAAAAAAAAAGAAGAAGACCTAAAATGAATATAGAGAAATACTGTTAACTGATGGGACATGAAGGGGATTATAATCGTTGTAATGAAACAAGATATATGATTTGTTGAATATAAAACTGATGATCTGCTCTGTAAATGTTCACTCAATTCACAATAAAATCATAAAAATAAAATAAAAATAGGAATTTTCATTATTCTATATAATGGAAATTATAAAACACAATAAAATCATTTAAAAAATCATAAAAAAAATAAAATAAAAATATCACTAGGGTGAACAAAATGGGAATGAACTAGTGCTTGTGATTCTACACTTAAGGTACTTATTACATAGCTTGCACTTACTAGTTAACATGCTTCTTTTACCACAAAGATAGAAAGTAATGGCCAGGACCTTTTCATCTCTGTACACTTAGAGCTCAGACAATAATCAGGAAGACAATGCATGTGTGTCTGTTTGTCTTGAATGTGGGCTTAGTAATGAAATAATCTCGAAATATTATTTATCTATCTTTCTATCAAATAGCTAAGCATACTGTATAGCACAAGACATTAAAAAAACTATACAAAACTTTCATTTAAAATTAACTGCTTAAAAAACAAACCAAAAAAAAAGTAATCAAAGCTCCACTAAATAACAAGCTAATGTTCAGTTTGCAGTAAACTTAGCTTAACTTGCAGTACTGATAACCAGCAGCTTATATTTTCAGCCAGCAAAGTCAGGGAGAATAGCATTCATATGTAAGTGAGATTCCATAGCACTTACAAAAACTTTTAAAGTGAAAACAGAATTTTTAAAGTACTTTCTTTCATATCTAGAGTTTGAAACATACAGGAGTTATCATATATATTTAATGTTTCTGTGTATTTTCCCAAGACCTTTTGTTTTAAGGATTACATTTCACCATAATAGGAGATTGTTGTTGCCGTTAAGTGCCATGGAATCAATTCCCAATCATAGCAACCCTGTATAGAATTTCTAAGGAGCAAGTGGTGGGTTTGAACCACCAATCTTGTGGTTATTCTACAGTGCTACACCAAGAGAATAAAAATATAAAAAGAGTCTGGAGTCTCTCTCACCACCCCCTATGTCCCTTTGAGAATGCAAATGTCCTATGCCCCTTGAATCTGCACAGGATCGCACTGAATCAGAACTAACTCTGTGGTATTTGACAACAACAATAACAAACGCCCCTAGAGGAATGGCTGAGACACAGATTAATTCATTCACTAATAATAATTATTCCTTTAATTGCCCTAATATGACAAAAGCATAAACTGCTGCATTTAATACCAGGTTTCATCCTACCCAAAGTTAATGGAAATTTCTATTTTCAGCCTTTTGAGTAAGCTTTAGTAAACATTAGAAGAATAGATCTTAAATACCTATATTTAAGATATTTAAGCTGTATTGGATTAAAATTTCAAAGGCAATCTCCAAAAAAGTATATTTGATTTCAAGTAAGACACATTCTATAAAGCTAAGTGATCAACACACAGTAGGTGCTCAGTAAGTAACTGAAGGAGGATGAACAAACAGGAGAAATGAAAAAACAGCTTCCTATAAAGATATGTACGAGCCTATTGATATTGTGGAAAGTTTAATGACTAAACAGTTGTTTTCTTTTATCTTAAATTACTGATGGAAATGATCTGTTCAGACAACAAATTCTACCTAAACAACTGTCGTACTGCTGGTATTAAATTTTAAATGCCACAGGTTATGGGCAAAACTGTTGGGGACTTTATTCTAGGTAGTTTGAAACCAATTCTCTCATACAATCATTAAAATGATCATTTTTCTCCAAATTTTAGGTTGGTCAAATGACCCTAAGGCACTGTAAAAAAATTTTAAATGCCTTCAAGTAATTGTTGACATATCTAAGCAAGGTCAGAGCCATATCTGACACATCACTATCACATCCCCAAGCCTAGCACAGTCCTGACACCTACTAGGTAATCAATCAATATTTGCCAAATTGATGATTCATTTAAAAAAGAATAGCAAAATAGATTAGTTAAGCCAATTAGATAATTCCATACAATGGAATACTATATAAACATTAAAAATTATGGGATAAATTATACATTTATTAACTTAAATACATTTAAAAGTCAGATTACAAAAGAATGCATAAAATGTAATTTTGAGTTTGTTATATGTACATACATAAATAAAAGTCAGAAAGCACTAAAAATATGACTTCTTATAGCCGTATATGAAGTGACAAAAGGACTTGATTAATCCTACTGTCCATCCTCTAAAACACAACTTCCAAGAAAAGAAAGTTTAGATTTGAAAGTATGAAGATTTTTTTTGGTAAAAAGTGATGACCAGAATTTAATTAATGAATGTACCTAAAATATAGGAGTCCTGGTACAGAGTTGTAGGATAAGCACTGGACCACAAGGTCTGTTTGTACAACAAAGTTGTTGATTCAAACAGACCTTGTGGACAAGTGTTTATCTTACAGTGCCACACTAACTAAAAGCCCTAAGAAATGACTAATATTTTTTTAAATCCCATTTTGTTTCTAATGAAACTAACACCAGAAATTTTTATCTTCCTAGAATGTCCATGGTTCTTCTTGGATATTTCAAAGTTGACAATACGCATGAAAGCACAGATCACTAGAACACTTCATACCTCCCTTCATTCATGAACTACTACTATGACTACAACTACTACCCCTACTACCACTGCTATACTGTTACTATTGCTACTACTACTACTGCTACTGTTGTTACTGCCATTACTACCGTTACTACTACTTTTAGAGTAACAATAGTAGCAACTAAGCAAATACTACTTGAAACTTAGAACAAGCTCCTTTATATCTATGATCTCTTTTATCTTTATAAGAACCCTTTGGGGCATGTTTTATAATTTCCATTATATAGAAGAGGAAACTGAATCTCAATCAGTCAGCCTCCTAAATATTATGAAAATATTTATTCATACCAAAATGTTAAAATTATTTTCTTCTATTACAGTGTACTAGTACTGAAACTACTAAAAGTGTCATAGTATAAGAAAAGGGTTGTAGTATAAGAAAAGGGTTCTACTGACAGTTGATTACCTTTCTCTAGATTATGTAAGACACATAAAAATTCAAAAGAAGCCAAACAAAGGTTTGTTTACGATTCAATTTATAAATTAAAAGAAAAATCGTACAAGTTTCAGAGAGTATCTTTTTTTTTCAACTGTCACAAATAAAAGATGCTAAATATCATAATTTGGGTTTTATTAAAATTAGAAAAATTCCTAAAAATAGTTTACATACCACAATTTTAAGAGGTCCATATTTTTTCTCCTGAGCAGCAAGCGCATTCTTAAAAGGAGTAGGAGTTCTTGGTGTGGTACCCAATATAGATCTTCTAATAGTAGGAGTTCTAAACCTATCCAATCATTTAGATATTTGTATTACAGTCACAATTTTGTTTATACTAGTTAAAGAAAGCAAAACCATGATAAAAACACACATTAAATATTCTTGTATAATATAAATATTTTTGTATTCGTGCTTTATTTAAGCCTTCCAAGACAATTGTAAAGAATGCCTTGCATATGCTAATTCTTATTCCAATCAATTATCTTAACATTAAGGAAAAAGACTAATATAGAGAAAATAGTTAAAATAATTATTTTCTTGAAATTAAAGTCTTAGGCTACATTTAGCTGAGGTATTAATTTTTTTTTTTTTTTAAGCACTCTAGTTATGAGCATAGAGATTATTATTCTCTAACTCTAGTTCCAGATGGACAGGATTAAGGTTTATGCATAAATATACAAAAACGTATCTACTAATAAAATGGTGCTTCCCATTTTCACTAACACAATTATTTAATGCCTACTTACCCTACATTTTCCTTTTGATCTTTGGGGGTTGATTCCTTACGAAGAGGAGTTGTAATGAGAACTTTCTGCCCACAAATTGGTGTTGATGTAAATGAAGGATTTTCCATATTAAGTTGTTCATTTCCAGGACATGTGTTAAAAAACTAAAAAGGGAAGACAGAGAGCTTAACCATTTTTTATGACATCAAAATACCTGTTGTTTTTGTTGTTCTTAAGTGCCATAGAGTCAGCTCTGAACCATAGCAACCATGTGTAGGGTTTCCAAGGAGCAACTGGTGAGCTTGAACTGCCGACCTTACAGTTCAAACAGACTTTGCAGTCCTGTGCATTAACCCACAGTGCCACATCAGTACACAAAATACCTACAAAAATATTAAACTGTTAAGATTTTCTAATTATTACCTCATTTCTCTAAGGAAAAAATTACCGATAATACTACATTTGCATTCTACTGCATGTAAATTAAGCTTCATGGTGGCTGGAATTTTTTTTTTTTTCTTCTTAAATGTTTTATTGTGAATTATGTGATAGTTTACATGGGAGAACATTAGGGACCTTTGCTCCTAGACTAAAAGTTAATCACTCCCCTCCTTGCTATAAAACGTCTACCTTTACATTTCCAACCCTCACAATCAGTCCTGATAACAATTATTCACTATTGT